ATTTAGGGCATTAGCATACTCGCTGTGATCATTTTGCTGTGTTTTGAACCAGAGCAAATCACTTCCTGCCCCTTATCTGACGTTCGCACATCATCTGGGTCACGAGACTGCAACCCAGCAATGAGGCCTGATTAGGTTTGCTTCCTGTGGGCACACCACCTGCAGGAGGGGCCCTATGAGCCCCCCTCTAAATATGTTGCACCAAAAGCATTAAGGTTTATTTGTAGTCCCTCTTCATTTCCAGTCCAGAAAAACACTCATCACAAAAACTTCCAACATTCACTAATTAAACCCCTCAGTGATGGGTCGCATCACTGTGACACTTGTTTCATTTAGTTTCTATTTATATAAAGCAGTTTCTAAAACTAGTTATATTTCAATTGACTTTTACGTGATATTTTTCTTAAATTAATAATTATTATTTATTTGGCTAGATCTTATTTTATGTTATTTGTACTCATAGATAAAGAGGGGGGRAAAAGGCAGAGCAGTAGAGCAGGAACAAACTGATTCCACCAACTGCTGGGAGTCTGCTGCTTTTTAGTCCAAACAAACACTTTGACGTCAGGATGATTGAACAAACARGTGTTCAAACAGACACTAATGAGTGAAAAAATCATTGCTGAGGTAAAAAAAAAACAATCTTTCCTGGTGCATCATGTTTTTAGTCCAGAATCTTGCTGTTTTTTCCTCCTGATTGCACAGCCACTGATGATCAGAGACAATCTGTGTGGGTCTGCCTGAACATTTCTGAAGAAACAGCACCATCTCTTGCTCCTTACAAGGACAGATGGAGACGTTTTTCTTCTTCATTTTAGCAACATCTTTCAAAAAACAGGCTTAGGTTTATGTTAAGGTATTTGCACCTTTTTCTGTCTGTCAGTTTCATATCCGAACTAGGATTAAGTCTAAAAGTGGGATGTGGAGAAATAGGCAGATATAATGTTTTGATTAAAATGTTTGCAAAAATATGTTTAAAAAATGACTTAACAATGTACTTTTGAAGGAACTGTCAGAAAAATAATCCTAATAAATAAATTTGACACTTTTTTAAACAGTAGCAACAACAAAMCTGATTTTGAGGAAAAACACAATCACAATTAAAAGACAAACACTTAAAGGGCTTTYATTTGTTGAAGAAATRCTTTTTGCCCGCTGCCTTTTARAGGTGGGCGATACTGGGAATTTTGGTATCCATCCGATACCAAGTAAATACAGGGCCAGTATCGCCAATACAGATACCGATATAGTTAAAGCTTCATAATTTGAAAAGATCCAAAAAATCTAGGATAGAATTTCGCCAGACGTTGTACGTGACAACGAAATACTTTATCATAACAATATTTTTGCTTGCCAACAATAAAGCAGTAACACAACAGTTTCCTTTAACATTAGGAAAATAAGTATTTTATACAAAAAATAAAATAAAAATTCTTCCCTCACTACAA